CAGGTTTAGAAACCAGTACATATAGAATAGCAACAGAACTGCACCAAGGAACAAACAAATTCATGTTCAGCATATAGTTCGAACAAGTTTGCATTTTTATTAGGCTAGATGTTAATATTAAACAATCATGGCTTAAGCACAAAAACAATTAGCAAACAAACAAGACACATGAATTAGCCACACATTGATCACATGTTTCTAGCAAAGTTCAGAACATGAACTAAATTAGGAAGATTTTTATATTATTAAAGATAGCTTAGCTTAATAGCATCAATAAGTGGAATCAAGCAGTCACATAGCAAACAGAATCATGCTGCAAATTTGAAATAGACTATTTGAATAAAGCATATAGAACAGAATGGAATACTAGGATTTAATGCATACACGTCGAGAAGAAAGCAAATAGGGATGCAACAGTAGCCAAATTCCAGAGAGTTAGGCCTTGGCTTTCGGCCGGCCAAATAGTGCAGAAACCAGAACAGTAGAACAAAGAGAGAACCTAAGTTTTTAAGAAACAAAAAGTTTTAAAGTTGTGAAGTTTTTCAGTGAAGAAGTTAATTTCTCAATGGGTTCTAAAGCGTGTCAGTGTCTCAGTATCTAAAATCAGGACAAGGGAAGGGCTTTTATAGCATACAATAGAGTAAAACAAATTTGGTATAAAAATCAATTACACACAAATAAGGTATGAAAATCAATAAATCAATCAATTAAGGTCAGTCATGAATCAATTAACAGGATAGAAATGAGTAATTACCACTTAATTCAAGGAAGATCTCACACGGAATCAATTAATAACTAAGAATGAGGTTAAATAAAGTAATAACTAATTCCGAAATCAATTAGGAGTCAGTAACACAAAATCAGCCGGTAATACGGGTACACAAATAAGGTAAGAACAAGTAAGAACTTAATAAGGAAATACGGGTACTAAATTCAAACCCTAATTTAGGCAAGCAAATCAATTAACACTTTAATTGACAGAGCTAAAGTAAACGGGCAAGAACAGTAGAATAAATGGCCAAATAATCGAAATCCTAGGAACTACAAAGACAGATATATGGAGCTTAATTAAATTAAGTAAAAATCATTCGAAAAAGCAAATAAAAATTAGAGATGAAAACACTTAAATGTTTAAAACATTCTTTTTTGCATTAGAACCAAAACCCTAGCTTTTAGGGTAAATGAAATCGGTCAACAATACTAAAAAAAGCAGAAAATTTTAAGGAAAAAATACCAAACAAACACAAAATCGCTCCAGATCTAAAGAGATCTAAACGGATTCAACCAGAAATAGCTAGGTTCATGAAAATAGACAGAAGCGAATCAAATCTGGTTTGAACCAGAGATTTGGAACCATAAAAATACCAAAACATTCGTGCTTACAGATTTCAGAGTGAATATAGACAGAATAGTCGAGAAAAGAGAGACTTTGAACCAGGTTTGGTTCGAGTCTTTGAGATTCATATCAAGCACCATGAAAATCATACAACCAGTAGAAAGGTGACGCCAGATAAGGCATGAAATCGAAGGAAAACCCCATAAATCAAGGGGGATTTGCGACGACGGGCTAGGGTTAGAGGGGGTGAGAGAGAGAAGAGATTAGAGAAGGGATCCAGAGGCGGCGGGTTGGGGGGAAATGAAGGTAGGTTTAGGAGGTTTAGTATTTTAAAAGGAAGGTGGATCCTGGACCGTTGATCTTCTGAGATCAACGGCCAGGATCAATTTTAGGCTGGGGCGGGTTATGGACGGGTAGGGTAATTGGGTCAGGGTAATTGGGTTAGGTTATTGGGTTATGGGTTAGGATAATTGGGCTAGGTCCGAAAAGTTGATTAAAAGGGGCTATGTTTTAAATACCCATTTAAATTTCTAAAAGAATTTATAAAAATAATTAATAAATGATAAAAAATATTATTTGTGCATGAAAATAATTTAAAATAATTACCTAATATTATAAAAATATAGAAAGTCATTTTCTATATAGATAATATAATTATGCATATATATGGGCTATTATTGCAGAATGTGCGATTCTAGCCTTAAAATGCAAAATGTAATTATAAAAAATACAATTAAAATATTTAAGCACTATATGGGCATAAATGATAAATTTAGATGATTAAATCATCATAAAAATGATATGAATGATAATTATTGGATATTTGTATGTAAAAAATGCAGAAATAACTTGATATAAAGCTTTAAAAATTATAGAAATACTTGTGCATGTTTGTAAATGCACGTGCACTATTTTATTTAAAATATATGAGGGAAAAATTGGGTATCAACATCTGCATTATTTCATTGTCACTGTCTTCAACTTCTTCGTCAACATCATGTATAGGTTGATACATTTTCAATATTATAATTTTATATTTTATATGTTACTTTAATATGTAGTTTTATTATTTTATATGTTTGTTTGTTACTCACCTATTTTTTACTATAATAAAATTANGTTTGTTACTCACCTATTTTTTACTATAATAAAATTAAATAATTAATTTTCATAACTATACATGATTTAATTATTAAATATTCACATTTTGGTTCCAGACTCGATATTTGAGGCCCAGTAGCACCAAGGTATCTTGAATTCTTGTGTCCATGATGAGAAAATTTTCCCAATTTATTACTCAACATGTCTGTTATTTTATATGTTAATTTATTATTGTATATGTTAGTTTATTTTTTTATATGATAGTTTTATTATTTTATATGTTAGTTTTATTATTTTATATGTTTGTTTGTTATTCACTTATTTTTTACTATAATAAAATTAAATAATTAATTTTCATAATTATACAGGATTTAATTATTAAATATTCATATAACAACACTTAGTTTGACAAATATTGTTGTTTTCTCTTGTTATTTTCTTACGTTTGTTGACTAGAATTGGAGAGAGTTTGTGTTTGAACTATCGGTTTTTTTGACGTATTTTTGGATATAAGAGATACTTAAATAATTAATTTCAATAACTAAAAGGATACTATGCTAAATGGCACTACATTATACTACGTTAAAAGGGCACTACATTACAAATATGAGTACTACATTAGGCCACAAGATACCACTACAGGGAACTAAAGTAATAATTTATATATTGTACTAGTCTTTTAGCAAATAAATAATCTAAACCGGATAAAAATAACAAATAAATTTAATCACAAAATAATCACGAAAATACATATACCATAGTAAAAAGTAACTAATTAAAATTTTTTTTAACAACTAATAACAATTTCTCTATTTTACTAACTTTTTTTGCACACTAACATTATAGTCCGGATAAAAAACTTAACAAATTAGTTAAATCGTAAAACAATCACAAAATAACATATAGCACATTAAAAACAATTAATATGCATTTCATACGAGTTTTAACAAAAACTAAGTCGGAATACCTCGATTTAAAGTTTTTGAAAAGTTGAAGATTTGGTGATTTGAGCTGAAACGAGCAACCCATTCCGAGATAACACCTTAGCTAGGTCATGGGACCGAGAATCTATGCTTTTTGTGAGATCGGTGGGCTCCACTCGAGCTTTTTTGTCAATAATTAGGAGGGGGGACCACTGGTTTTGTTTTTTTGGGGGGGGGGGGGGGGATCGTTTTCTGTTATGTGGGGAAGGGAAAGGGACGACTTTTTATATAAGTATATCGCCCTTTATTAAGACGCTATAGTATAGCGTTTTAATAAAGAGCGCAATACCTTCCTGTTCAAATAAAGCGCCTTAAAAGGGCGCTATACTTAACTGGGCAAACGCCCATTAAGGTATAGTGCCCTTTAAAAGAGCGTTATATATAAAATGGTCACTAAGTTTTTTCTCCACACATTTTGATTCTTTGAGTCCAAAAGAACCACATTTTTGTTCCGGACTCGAGTTACGTCCGGATGCAGACAAATTAATCCGGATAATATTATTGTTAGGAAAAAAGATAACACTTACGAATACTTTATTATTGGGAGTAATAATAAAACTTATGCACCAAATCATATATCACGACTAGGAGTGGAAAACGGGGGGGGGGGGGGGGGGGTTCGGGTCGGATATGATTCGGGTAAAAAAGGTAATGAAAAAATGGATCAATTATCCGACCCAACCCATATTTAATACGGATAAAAAATGGGTTAACCGGCGGATAATATGGATAACCATATTATCCATGACTTTTTGCATATGATCATTTTTGGGAGAATTCTTAGTCTCCCCTAACTTGAGAAACCCCCAATTTGAGGCTTTACAAATGTAAAAGTTAGACCCATTGGGTATCCATTGGTTACTCATTGGTTAACCATTTCCTAAATGGATAATCTGGTTCTTATCCATATTTGACCCGTTTTTAAAAGGTTCATTATCCAACCCATTTTTTAGTGGATAATATGGGTGGTTAACTGTTTTCTTTTAACCATTTTGCCACCGCTAATCACGACATAGATGGTGTTTGGCTAAGCTTATAAGCTGGTTAAAATGACTTATAAGTACTTTTTGGCTTATCTATGCGTTTGGTAAATACCCAAAGTGCTTATAAGCCAAATGCTTATAAGCTAAAATAAGTCATAAGTCATAAGTTGGTCACCCGCAACTTATGACTTTTTACCTTATAAGCACTTTTAGTTTGACCAAAGCTTTTACTCGTGTACCCTTAATAATATTTTATAATTCACAAAATATTTTTTCCAAAATAAATTTTTTAACTTTCCTTTCTTTCCATATTCGTTGTTCATCTTTTTCTTTACAAAAAGACTTTCTAATTTATAATCTTTTGTAAAGTTTTTAAGGATATTTTAATCATTTTAATAAAAGAATTACTTATCAGCTTTTTTCTATCAAACACATCAACTGCTTATTATCAATTTCAGTACGCCTATCAAAACACGTAAATATTTATTTAAAAAATCAATTTCAACATTTAAAAATTCAAACTTATCTGCTATTGACAATCGCTTAATCCAAACAGGCTCATAGTAAATTTTTGTCTAGCTGTAAGACTGTAACTTAATTTCCAGATTGCCCCATCTCAAAACACCCCCTTCTCCATTTCTTTCGTGCACACCCAAAGTTCTCTACTAAGCCTCAGCTTTCAAGCAAGGAAGCCAAAGAAACCCCATATCCTCACTTTTCTCTCTTTTCCTCTTTAGCCATGTCTGAGGTACTTACTTTCATAATTGGCTCAATTCATCGTTTCTCCATATGTTTGATTCAAATCTTATCACTTTGTACCGGCAATCTGCTAATTGTTCTAAGGAGATTGGATTTTTTTTTTTTAGTTGGTCTATACAATAAATTTACACCGTTTTTTTTTTGTTGCTTTTTCTTGTTTTCTGTTAGGTGGTTTTAAGGATTGTTTTCTTTTGAGGGTTGATTTAATTGTGGAAAATTCTACTTTTTGATCTTATAGAACTCTGTTTTTTTCTTTTTGATTTTCTTGGTTTTTGTTTTTTGTTTTTTGGTTAACAGTAACGCTAATACATAATATGTTCGCTGTTCAGGCAGATAAAGTTGTACCTGCTGCAAAAGAAGGTATACCTTTTCACTGTTCTCCTTCTTCCCTGTTATATTCTAGTATTATATTTGCATCTATGTTATAATTAGTGGCATTTATCAATATGGTGCATAGGCTTACTATAGAGTCGTAGCCTATGAGTGATTATCGGGTTTAAAACATCATATTTCCAGTTTTTTCCCAATATAGCCATGATATGTTGGATGCAATATATGATGGTGTTTGGGGCAAGAGAGGTCTAATGGGATGTAGCATGGGATTTAAAGTAGGATGTTGATAATGTCATCAGTAAGCTTACGGGACCTATATTCAATCACTGGCGTACACAGGATTTATCACAAGTGGTGTCACATTTGGAAGAAATAGACAAATCGCTTAAATGAACATCACTTTAACTTTTATAACTTCAACTAACATATAGGGCCTTGTCCCGTTGGTTTAGTTTAATTTTATTCTTGAAGAGGCCAAGGGTTCAATTCCGCTCGAATATATTATTTTAACAAAAAAGAGAGGCTCAAAAATTTGCAAAAGAAAATGTTAAAGAGGTTCTAACCTCCAATCTCCACAAGCTAAATCTTGTGCTTAACCAGCGAACCAGAAGGCTTTCTTGGTCAAGTAGTGTCATCTTTATTTCATCGATGCGAGTTTTGCATAGTATTAATTATATATATTTAGTAAAACTTTTCGACGAAGGTGACACCTTAGCCATACGTGCATCCACCCTTGCGCCCAAGGATGTGACCTAGTGTTCAATGAAGCGGAAAGAGAACTATGGAGTCACAAGTTCAAATTCCAGCAGAGTCAAATAAAACTAGTTGATTTTCCCCTTAACCTAAGCGTTAATAGAGTTACTCGGTACCTGTGCTAGTGGGAGGTAACAAGTACCCGACAAAATAGTCGAGATGCGCGCAAGTTGAACCGGACATGATCATTGCAAAAAACATTTATTACCTAACATACATGCTTTTGGAATTTCAAGAAGTAATTTGGTTGGATGACTTGTAGTAATGGTGTAAGCAGTAAGACTAGAACGGTTAGTGAAGAAGCAATCATGTTAAACCATTATGTATATTTGGGGCACTGTTTTTCTTCAAGAAAAAGTTTTTGTGTCACTGATGTTAATTGACCAAAGGTACATAGATAAACTGGGCTTGATGGTACCTTATAGCTTGTTTGGATGCTTGTTACCTCTTGTATTGTATCATTTAAATTAAATGTTTATTTTGATCGTTATTTAAATTTTATTGTGTCGTACTATTAAATCCGTTATATGTAACGATTGATTTGGTGTGGTTGTGTTGTTACCTTTTTTTTTTTTCTCTCTTCCTCATCTTGCCCTTATTATCATTCTATTTTACTCTTCACTCTACCTTTTTTGATAATTACTCTACTCCATATTTTACTCTTTTTTTTTGTAATATTATAACCTTATTCTTCAAATTGCTGATCTGATTATGAGATGACATTATGAAATGATAGAAAATGATACAATCTGTCTAAACAGTGTATTCATTAAAATAGTACAATACAATACAAATAAAAAACGAAGCCAAGATTTTTATTAAGGGGTGTCAAAATTTAAAGAAGTAAATATATGAAAAAATCAAGGGGAGTCAATATATATATATATATATATATATATATATATATATATATATATATATATATATATATATATAGTTTTCTGACTCGACCACGGAATACAATACAACAACAACAACAACAACCCAATAAAATCCCACAAGTGGGATCTGGAGAGGGTTATGTATACGAAGACCTTACCCCTACCCCGATGGAATAGAGAGGTTGTTTCCGTTAGACCCTCGGTTCAAGAAGACGGAAAAGACGTGAAGAGACAATATATCAGTACCATCAACAGAAACCATAGAATAATAACAGCATCATAAGAACTAGAAAATAGATGAAATGCAATAACTGTTGATTAGTGTAATTAGTAGAAAGATTTGATTAGATTAGATTTTATTCTCTAGCCTAATTATAGGCAGATTTTATTCTGTAGCTTGATTGTAGCAATTGCTGATTTCTTTTCCTAGTTTAGCCATATGATTCATTGTATAAATATCAGTACTCTTGATGTGAATAGATATACAAAATATACAAGAAGCTCTTTCTTCTTCTTGAAATCATCATGATATCAGAGCCTCTACTGCCATTTTGAGGTGAGTTTCCTCCCTCAGCAGCACTATAGGGTTCCGGTTCTTTGAAAGAGGTCGAGTTTTTCCTCCCTCACGGTGGCTGTAGCATCGGAGCTATTATATGTCAGTAGTGTGGAAAAACTAACACCACTACAAGCTTCCTCAGGCGACGGCGACAAAACCCCAGTAAGCAGCTCCGAGAAAAACCTCTCCACGCGCCTCCACGTGCCACCAACAGTTCTGACTCCGGCGCACATGAATCTCACGTGCCGGCGAGAAGACAACTTTCCGGCGACTTTTTCTAGAATTTTTTTGCTCCTTTCAGATCGCCAGAGGATTCCGAGCCTACCCCAGTTCCAAAATCTTTTTTCTCACCGGAGATAGGGTTTCAGCTTCTCAGATCTTGTTTTCCAGCGAAGGTTGCTTTTTTTTTTCTCTCATCCTTGGAGTTCAGGTTTGATAATTTGGTAGGTGTGATTATTTTCCTTTTTTGGCTTCTGGTTTGCTACTTGTGAAATAATGGGGTACACCAAATCTACAGATAATTCTCTTTCACAAATGGTTTATTCCGTTTCACCAGTTAGCGCAGTTAAATTGGATGGGGCTGGTACATACCTTGCTTGGCCAAGATCATGTTTGCTTTTTATTAAGTCCAGAAAGTTGCTTAGTTATATTACGGGAGAAAAGAAAGCACCTGTTGTGACTGATGCTAGCTATAGTCAACGGGATTCAGATAATTCCCTAGTTATGACATGGCTTTTGAATACTATGCACCCTCGAATTTCTGAACAGTATTTATTGCTTGATACTGCTGAAAAGATCTGGAATTCCACTAAGCGCACTTACTCTCGTAAGGGAAATGATGCTCAGGTCTTTGAAAATTCAAAATAAGATTCATGCCACCAAGCAAGGTGAGTTGACTATCACTGACTAATATTACGAGTTAATTGGGTTATGGCAGGAAATTGACTACTATCAGGATCTCCAAGCGAAGTGTACCGATGATGCAGTTCTATTTCAAAAATTGGTTGAAAAGGAAAGTATACATGATTTTTTGGCCGGTTTGAACCCAGAGTACGATCAGATCTGGGTTCAAGTTCTTGGTAAAGTTCTTTTTCCTTCTCTTGAGGATGCATACTCTTATGTTCAACAGGAAGAGAGCCAACGAGGAGTCATGCTTTATTCGGCACCAACCGAGAAGTCTGGGTTAACCGTGTCTCATGAGCAAACAAAGGTGTTCACTTCTGATAAAGATCACTTGCACTGTGATTACTGTGGAAAGTCAAGACATACAAAAGAGACATGCTGGAAACTGCATGGTAGACCAACTAGAGGTTGTGGAGGCAAGCGTGTCGGTCTATCAAGGGGTCAAGCTAATATTGCAGGAAATGTGGAAACATTCAGAGAAAATGCTTCGGGAGAAACTTTCTCTTCAGAGGAAGTTCAGCAACTTCGCCGTCTCCTGAACAAACTTGACACTTCTAATGTTGGGACTTCCAATTATGTGCAGTCAGGTATTGCCTTTAATGCGCATCTTAATTCTTGAATTATTGATTCTGGTGCGAATAGACACATGACAGGCTCCTCTAAAGGCTTTCAGAACTACTCTCCTAATCCAAAAGGGGACTGTGTCAGAATAGCCAATGGCTCTTTAACTCCTGTCTCTCTGGAACAGGTTCTGTTATCTGTACACCTGATATTACATTGTCATCCGTTCTTCATGTACTTGAGTTTCCCGTTAACTTGTTATCTGTTAGCGCTATCACCAAAAAACTAACTGTAGTGTCGAATTCTTCCCTGATTATTGTGTGTTTCAGGATCTTCAAACAAGGAAGAGGATTGGCAGTGGTAGATTGCATGATGACTTATATTAGATTGATGGAACTCGAGCATTTGGTCAAGCCTTTTTTGGAGGAAATAAGAACGTCAACCAAGAAATAATACAGTGGCATAGACGGTTGGGGCATCCATCCTTTTTTGTTCTAAAGAAATTATATCCTAGTTTTGTTTTCTAGAACTGAGTTTGAATCTTTGTTTTGTGATGCTTGTGAATATGCCTAGCACACTAGAAACTCTTATCCTTTAAGTGATAATAAAAGTACTATCCCTTTTTCGACTATTCACTCTGATGTATGGGGTCCCACTCAAACAGTTTCCTTGTCTGGTAGTTGATGGTTTGTTACTTTTATTGGTTGTTGCACTAGGATGGCTTGGGTATATTTGTTAAAGGCAAAAAATGAAGCCACTAAGACCGGAGAATGTGAAATTGAAGAAAGAATTCAGGGGGAGACTATTGGGCATTTGGATAAACCTGATTTGATAACTTATTCAAGAAAAAAGAGAGCTGAAGAAGTCATCATGCAATCTGCTGAAGCTCAACCCTCTTTTGCTGTTGAAACCTCTTCTACGGGTGAGTTATCTACATTTCCTAGTGAGTTAGATGTACCTATTGCTCATAGAAAAGGAGTCAGATCTTGCACCAAACATCCCTTATCTAACTTTGTCTCCTGTAATTCCTTATCTTCTTCCTATAGAGCTTTTGCCTTGTCTATTTCTTCTGTGGCTATTCCCCAGAATTGGAGGGAAGCTTTTGTAGATCCTAAATGGAAGCAAGCTATGATTGAAGAAATGAAGGCCTTGTCAAAGAATGAGACTTGAGATCTTGTCACTTCACCACTAAATAAGAAATTGGTTGGCCGCAAATGGGCCTTTACTGTGAAGCACAAAGCTGATGGTTCGATTGAAAGATTCAAAGCAAGACTGGTGGCTAAGGGGTTCACTCAAACTTATGGAGTGGATTATCAGGAGACATTTGCCCCTGTTGCAAAAATGAACACTATTAGAATTCTTTTGTCTTGTGCAGTTAATCTTGATTCGGACTTACAACAGTTTGATGTGAAGAATACATTTCTTCATGGCGACTTAGAAGAAGAGGTGTATATGGAGATTCCTCCTGGATTTGATACTGCACAAAGTCAAGGAAAAGTGTGCAGACTGAAGAAAGCCTTGTACGGACTGAAGCAATCTCTAAGAGCTTGGTTTGATAGATTCTGCAAAGCGATGATCTCTTTCGATTACCAACAAAGTAATGCCGATCATACCCTCTTCATGAAACACCAAAAGGGTAAACTCACTCTTCTCATAGTTTATGTTGATGACATAGTAATGACAGGGAATGACAATGAAGAGATGGCCCGATTGAAGAAGCTGTTAGCCCAGGAATTCGAGATCAAAGATCTAGGGAAGTTGCAATACTTCTTGGGAATTGAGGTTGCTAGATCAAAAAGAGGAATCTTTATTTCTCAAAGGAAATACATCCTAGATCTCTTGAAAGAAACTGGTATGACAGGTTGCAAACCAGCAGAATCTCCCATTGAAAGCAATCACAAGTTACAAACTGGGTTGGAAAGTCAATTGATAAGGAGAGATATCAGAGGTTGGTTGGAAAACTCATTTATCTCTCTCACACTAGGCCAGACATAGCATATTCAGTTAGCTTGGTGAGTCAGGTCATGCACGATCCACGAGATCCTCATATGCAAGCTGCCTTTCACATTTTGCGGTATCTAAAGTCTGCACCAGGAAAGGGTCTACTTTTCTCCAAACATGGTCACCTCCAGATAGAAGCCTTTACAGATGCAATTGGGCTGGATCTCTAGATGGTAGAAGATCTACATCCGGTTATTGTACACTCGTGTGAGGGATTGTAGTTACTGGGAGAAGCAAGAAGCAAAATGTAGTTGCCAGATCCGGTGCAGAAGCAGAATATAGAGCAATGGCCCAGGGTGTTTGTGAACTGATTTGGCTACAAAAGTTAATGGGGGAATTGAGATTGTCTGAGACAGGGAAGCTTTTGTTGTATTGCGACAACAAGGCTGCAATTAGTATAGCTCATAATCTTGTTCAACATGATAGAACAAAACATGTTAAAATTAATCGACATTTCATCAAAGAAAAGATTGTTGGTGGTACCTTGAGTTTGCTTCATGTATCGTTAGAAAAACAGCTAGCGCATGTGCTCACAAAAGGTCTCAGCAAAAAGACTTTTCACACTTTGGTTTGCAAGTTGGGCATGTGTCACATCTTTGCACCAACTTGAGGGGGAGTGTTGATTAGTGTAATTAGTAGAAAGATTTGATTAGATTAGATTTTATTCTCTAGCCTAAATATAGACAGATTTTATTCTGTAGCTTGATTGTAGCAATTACTGATTTCTTTTCCTAGTTTAGCCATAGGATTCATGGTATAAATATCAGTACTCTTGATGTGAATAGATATACAAAAAATACGAGAAGCTTTTTCTTCTTCTTGAAATCATCAATAACAATAACCAGTAAATAAGGCCCGGTGCTATGAAAAACGGATGGATGGTGTGAACACAGCATTAACCACTAGCTGTGAAAGACCAACTCTATCGAACTAGCCTCACCCCGGTACGAAGTAGAAAAATGCTCGATTACCTCCTAACGTACAACCCTAATGCTCGACCTCCACAACTTCCTATCAAGGGCCATGTCCTCGGAAATCTACATCCACCCCATGTCCTACCTGATCACCTCTCCTCAAAACTTCTTAGGTCGTCCTCTACCTCTTCTCATCCCCGCCAAAGCCAACCGCTCACACCTCCTCACCGGAGAATCGGCTTCTCCTCTACACATGTCCGAATTGTCTGAGCCTCGTTTCCCGCTTCTTGTCATCCATAGGAGCCACGCCCACCTTCTCCCGAATATCTTTATTCCTAATTTTATCCATCCTAGTGTGCCCGCACATCCACCTTAACATACTCATTTCTGCTACTTTCATCTTCTAGATATGAGAGTTCTTAACCGGCCAACACTCTGCCCCATACAACATGGCTGGTGTAACCACCGCTCTATAAAACTTACCTTTGAGTAACGGTGTCACTTTCTTGTCACATAGGACTTCAGATGCTAGCCTCCATTTCATACATGCCACCCCTATACGGTGAGTGACGTCCTCGTCGTCTCTCTGCCCCCCTGGATAACCGACCCAAGGTAATTGATACTACCTCTCTTGGGATGACCTGTGATCAAAGACTCACGTCCATGCCCACTTTCCTCGACTCGGCGCTGAACTTGCACTCCAGGTTGTCATGCTCAACTTGAAACCCTTAGACTCAAGGGCTTGTCTCGGAACCTTCAACCTCTCGTTAACACCGCCTCGTGTTTCATCAATCAGAACTATGTCATCAGTGAATAACATACACCATGGCACCTCCCCTTGAATATGGTGTGTCAGTGCATCCATTACCAGGGCAAATACGAACAGACTGAGCGCAGATTCTTTTGGTGTAACCCCATAACAACCGGAAAATGCTCCGAGTCGCCTCCCACTATCCTAACCTGAGTCTTAGCTCCATCATACATGTCCTTGATCGCTCCAATGCAAGCTACCAGCACACCTTTTGCCTCCTGGCATCTTCAGAGAACCTCCCTAGGGACCTTGTCATAAGCTTTCTCCAAGTCAATAAACACCATGTATAGATCCTTCTTCCTATCCCTGTACTGTTCCACCAATCTCCTAATAAGGTGAATAGCATCCGTAGTCGAACGACCCGACATGAACCCGAATTGGTTGTCGGATATAGACACAGTCCTCCTCACCCTCACTTCTGCCATCCTCCCCCAAACTTTCATGGTATGACTTAGTAACTTGATACCCCTATAGTTACAACATTGGATATAACTTCTGTTCTTGTACAACAGTACCACCGTACTCCTCCTCCACTCATCTAGCATCCTCTTCGTCCTGAAAATAACATTAAACAACCCAGTCAGCCACTCCAAGCTTGCTCTACCCACACACCTCCAAAATTCAACCGGAATTTCGTCTGGCCCGGTCACTCTGCCCCTTCTCATCTTACGCATAGCTCCCATGACCTCCTCAACCTTAATGCGCTTACAATACCTAAAGTCTCGGAGACTCTCCGAATGCCCCAGATCACTTAACATTATATCTCGGTCCCCCTCTTCATTTAGAAGTCCATGAAAGTAAGTTTGTCATCTCTGCTTAATCTGAGACTCCCCCATCAATACTCTACCAAGCTCGTCTTTGATGCACCTAATTTGGTCTAGATCCCGAGCCTTCCCCTCTCTCGCCTTAGCCAACCGAAATAACTTCTTATCCCTGCCTTTTCTCGCAATTCCTTATACAAACGACCAAATACTGCAGTCTTAGCCTCTGTGACTGTCAATTTCGCATCCTTCCTTGCTACCTTATATCTCTCTGTGTTCGCTCTCCTCTCCTCCTCGCCTGTGCTCCCTACTAACTTCAAGTACGATGCTTTCTTCGCTTACACTTTGCCTTAGACCAGTTGCATTTGTGCCCGCCAGAGTAACCCTTCGAGACCCTTAACACCTCTCTCGCCGCCTCCCTTACACGGTTCGCCGTCGTCGTCCACATAGTTAAGGCTCCCACAGCCGATAACCTCCTCTCCGACTCTTGAGCTTTATCCTTAGTTAAGGCTCCCCAACTGATCCTCGGTCGATCTCGAGCAGACCTCTTCTTCCTCCTTATCATGATACCAACGTCCATTACCAAGAGCCTATGCTTCATCGTGAGGATCTCACCCGGGATAACCTTGCAATCTTTGCATAACCCTCTATCACACCTCCCGAGGAGGAGATAATCAATCTGAGTCTTCGTCACCGTACTTTGGAAAGTTACCAGATGCTCCTCCCTAAACTAGAGTTTGCAATCACCAGCTCAAAAGCCTTAGCGAAATCTAACAACGAAGTACCTCCTCCGTTCCTAATTCCCAAAGCCGAAGTCGCCATGCACCTCGCCATAGCCACCAGCAGTCGACCCAATATGGCCATTGAAATCCCCTCCTATAAATAATCTCTCAGCGGGTGGAATACTGCACACAATCTCATCCAACCCCTCCCAGAAGCGCCTTTTAACCTCCTCATCCAACTAACGACATTAAGGGTGCACTCTCCAACCACTAACTTAACCGATATTAATTATAATTCACCCGCCTAGCTTCTACCACAGACTTTCTAAGATCCATATTCACCAAAATATCCACTCCATTCTTGCCCTTCATGACTCCAGGGTACCACAACTTATACACGTCTGCATCCCTCACCTTTGTCCCTACAAACCTAATCTTCTGGACACAAGCTATATTGACCTTCCTCTTCCGGAGAATCTTCGCCAACTCTATATACTTACCCATCAATGTACCTATGTTTCATGACCCAATCCTCAACCTACAGGCTCCCTTGTTCCCCTTACCTCCTTGCCTCCCGTCCCACCCCCTGCCCCACCCCGGCACCCTCCGAGGACATGACTTTACTCTACTATCCCAGACCACATCCAATATACCTACGACAGACTACGGAAAATCACTAACACAAAATAGGCAACGGACCCAACTAGAAGATAACAAGTTGCAACTAAGGCCGCTGAATACGATATGTTACATAAAGAAACGATATGTTACAATCATCCAAACAAGCTGTTAAAAGCAAAGACCAAAATTAGTGGAGAGCACGTCTCAACGCGAAGATATATAACTCTAGATCATGCTTATATGGTGGAACTTGATTTTTTTAACTGAATTCCAGATTGACTTGTAAAGAAATCTGATTGAGTGAAGGTTAGGTTAATCAGAATAGATACTTGAGTCAGGAGTGAATTTAAGCATACACAAACTTATTTAGATAAAAGAAGATAATAATAAAAGGCCAGTAAAGATACAGCAAGGCTTTCATTATTTGGGTTTTTATTAAGGAGCTTTTATTATTTGTTCCTTTAGCTTGATTGCTACAATTTCATCATTATTCTTCGGGATCCTATCATTGTTTTCTCAGTTATTATCTGGATATGTGTGTTATTCTCTCACACCTAGAATTATCATTTTACTGTTTTTAAGCCACACAGTTTGTTTTACCTCCGACAAAGTACAAAATGGTATACCATGTTGAATCTAAAAAGACAAAATGGTATACCATGTTGAATCTAAAAAGTTGTCTTTGTGACATGGTGAATAGTCGAGCATAAAGCTGTAATTTTATTTTTTGATTTGTATCTTTCTCTTTTCCAGATGAGAAGCCTGGGTCTTCTGAGAGTAAAAAGTCTTCTGCCTCCACAGAAGCGCAAACAGGAGAGACGAGACCAACCTCTGCAGCTGCAGCTGCAGCTGGGCTTCAAAATCCCTTTGATTTCTCAGCCATGACTGGACTGCTTAATGTACATATCTGTCACTACTCAAATAAGAGTTCGCTAGTCGTGTTTGATAAATATCTGTGGATTCTATATTACTGACCGTTGTGAGGAAAAAACATCCATGGTATTTTTTCAGTTGCTTTCTTTTTGAGCAATAGGATATTCTATTAAGAGAGATGCTGTTGGGAAAGTAAAAGTGCAAACTGTAACCAATTGTCATTTTGGTTGAATTTATTAGACATGAAATTGTGAACAATTTGTGTACCACTAGTGTTGCTTATAAAACATAAGAAGCCCATGACACCAATATATGGCAATATAAACTGTTGACACACACACACACACTCTCTTCGATATGATATAGAACCTAAAAGAATATCAGAATTCAATTAATAAATGATTGGTGCTTGGTTGCTTGACATGTTCATTTGTAATTCTTATATCTTATTTTATTTTCAAATAACGTGGCTAATGTAGGATCCAAGTATTAAAGAACTAGCTGAGCAGATTGCAAAAGATCCTTCATTTAATCAGATGGCTGAGCAGCTTCAGAAGACCTTTCAGGGTGCTGCTGTGGAAGAAGGTATCCCCAACTTTGATAGCCAACAATATTACTCTACAATGCAACAGGTTATGCAAAATCCTCAATTTATGACGATGGCTGAGCGACTTGGTAGTGCATTGATGCAGGTATCATTTCTTTCATGTTGTACAGAAAGCCACTGGATTTCTTAGTACATAAAGATTCAGCTGAGTGTCATTTTTTTATTTATCAGGATCCATCTATGTCCAGCATGCTTGAGAATTTGACAAACCCATCACAGAAAAACCAAATTGAAGAACGAATGGCGCGCATCAAAGAAGACCCATCACTGAAACCAATTTTGGAAGAGATTGAAAGTGGAGGTCCAGCTGCAATGATGAGGTCATATGTGCTCCTATTTGATATTATTAGTGGCATTCACTTTTGGTTAACCTAATTTCTAGCTCAGAACGTACATGTGTTAAGTATAAGATCTTACTGGCGGCTAAGTATTTCAGATTGAGATCCACAATTTTTCCTTGTTGAGTGTATCTTTTGAAATGAACACGCACCATGATAAAATGATATTTACTGGATAAGCTTTTCTTGTAGAAGTTTTAGTTGATTAAATTAAGGCAACAATGTCATAGAAAGGGTGGTGGGTCTTGATATTGAGCGTAAACCATTATTCGAAATTAAAGTTTGCAGCTTTACTGGAACTCACTATCTGTTATGAATCTTTGGTGACTGGAATCAACTAGACAATGCCAGTCCCAGTCAAAGAATCTCATCTTAAGTTCTCTCCAGAGCAGGGGAAAAGGAAACATTTTGGTGGCTACTTTTGATATACATACAACAACAACAACCACCCAGTATAATCCCACAAGTGGGGTCTGGGGAGGGTAGGATGTACGCAGCCTTACCCCTACCCTGGAAGGGCAGAGAGACTGTTTCCGATCTACTTTTGATATACATGTGGCGGAGAATTGAAGTGAGAGAGCTTTAGAAGAAATGGATGTGAGCCTGCAACATTTTCATTGTGCTTCCCAGTTTATTTCGTTCTGAGATTGTTCATTTGCTGCTCTTCTGAGCTATATAACATGTTGGACTTAAGTGTACAGAAAGCATATTATGTGCACACCTGCAGCTCCATGTGCTTGCTAATTATTTACTTCAGTTCTCTTCCTTAGATACAAGATGTTATGTGCTCTGCACTTTTGATCCTTGATCTTAACTATGTTATATTTTATGTTTTTGCTGTATTATAAACGTCTTCCGTTTTGTACATTATGATGTTAAAAAAATTTGTTTTGCTTTTTATTTGTTATTTAACTGTAAGGTATGATTTTTTTTGTTTTTTTTGTTTCAGGTATTGGAATGATCAAGATGTTCTAAAGAAGCTAGGTGAAGCAATGGGTTTTGCTGTTGCAGGGGAGGGTGCCTCCTCAGCTGGAGTTTCTGGGCCAGATGAAACAGAAGAAGCAAATGAAGATGAATCCGTCGTTCACCAGTGTGCCAGTGTGGGTGATGCAGAGGTGCTTATTAAGTGTACTATTTTGGGGTCATAAACGTGAAATATGTGGAAGTTCATTTTGTTATCTTGAGTTCAGAAGCCATTTACTTCTTGGAGAAAAATCCCCTCCCCCTTCTCTTCATCGAAAGCCATCCTGCTGGCCGAATTTGTGGATGAATTGAATATACATTGAGCTTTGATGTGAACATATTAACTAAATATTGCTGAATAGAAGAGACCTCGTTTAAACATACGTGGATTTTCCTTAACTTTTAGGGCTTGAAGAGTGCGGTAGCTACTGGTGCTGATAAAGATGAAGAAGATTCAGAAGGAAGGACAGCATTGCACTTTGCATGTGGATATGGGGAGGTAAGAAGATAGTTAAAATGTTCCTTTATTTAGGACCTTTGTCATACTCAATATACATACAGCTGTATCCCGGGATTTGTGTATTTTAGCATAATAGAGTATCCTATTTGGCTTCCTAATGGGCTTAGCTAAGCTCCAAAACTTGGCCCCAGTGGGAACAATCCTTCCTTAAAGCAAAAATTGGTTTTCCCTTGAAATTTGCATACATTTTAAAGCTTTTATCTTCACTAGTAGTCGTAGCTGATTTACACCGTCCACTAGTCCCCTACAGACTCCTCTCTTTAATGTTTTATTTTCCTTGGAGCTTACTAATATGCTAAGAATCTTATGAAATAAAATAAAAGAAAAAAAAAATTACTGCTATGCCAATAATTAGCAATTTATTAGGAGTTATCTGTAGATTAGGTATCTTGTGAAATTAACTAGGGGTCAGTTCGTATAAGCGCTCCTTCTATTGTACAATCCACCAAGGTGGACGTGGCCAGGGGCGAAGCCATGTTGGCCCGAGGGTGGTCAGCTGACCACCCTTCGCCGAAAAATTATACTACGTATAAGGTAAAATGTTACTTGTTATTGATTAAAAATAGACTTGGAACACCCTTGCATAGTCCATTGGCAAAGGGTGTTCAAAATTTGAACACCCTTATTGAAAATTTCTTTTTCCTTTATTGGGTGTAACCATACTTTTCCACCTTCACTCAAGAGTATATGGAAACATCAACACCAAATGTGCGGTGTTAATGTGGGAGGTGTCAAGATGGATTATGTGTCATTTAAGAATGTAGTAGCAAAGGTTTAGCCTATTTTCCATGTATATACAGGTGAAATGTGCTCAGGTCCTTCTTGAGGCTGGGGCAAAGGTCGATGCTTTGGACAAGAATAAGAATACTGCCCTGCACTATGCTGCTGGATACGGAAGAAAGGAGTGTGTAGTTCTGCTTTTAGAGAATGGAGCTGCTGTGTAAGTCTAATTCTTTGTGCATCGGGATATTTATGTTCCTGGATGCCCCTTGTTTCTTGCTATTTATTCTCTTTCTTATCCCATTTACTAGATTCTATTTTCTTTGCGCAGTACTCTTCAGAACTTGGATGGGAAGACACCAATAGATGTTGCCAAACTCAATAACCAGAACGAGGTCCTTAAGCTGCTCGAGAAGGATGCATTCTTGTAAATCGAACTATCCCATCTTCCTGGATGTATTTTGAGAACTCAAGTGATTGCATCATCGATAGTTGATGCATTTCCCATGTTATCTTTGCCATTGTATTATTTATATATTTTTTTCTGGAATGTTTTGTATTTGTAAGCTTACACAGTTGCGATGAAAGTTGCTTATTTTGCATCCTGGCGAATCTAGTTTGGTTAGTAGAACTCAAGCAGTATTCCGGACCATTGTCATAAAATCCTCAATATCAACTTACAACTGATAGAGAAATAAATACTTGTATAAGGGGTAACAACCATCGTCCACTGGCAGAGAAATAGTAAACTCATGACCTTGAATAAGGGATAACTACCATTATCCACCTATAGAAAATTGTTGAAAGAATTACAGCCCATGTCACTTGGCCTAATAGCCCAACCGAAAATGGCCCATATTTGAAGCTCTTACCCTATTTAGCCCATGTTGTACATAACTTGAAAAAAACTTTTCAGCCTTTAGCCTACTATTAAAGACATACTTTTAGAGTTTTTATTATTTTCTTCTTTCTTCGTTCCCTTCTCTCTCTCACCGCCTCTCACTTCTTTCTTTCTAACCCACATAGATCCTTCATCCTCTCTTAACCTAGCCCCCGCTATTCCCCCTCCTCTACCCCCCCCCCCCCCCCCCACGCAGTTCTGCCATTAATGGCTCGAAGAAGGCTCGAAGAAAGACTCCGTCGTCCATAGTGGCAAGCAGAAGAATGAAGAAGATTTTTGAAAGAAACATGAAAATACACACAGATCTGAAAATAAATAGCTCTCAAACTTGATTTGCACCAAAAAATAATCACTAATGTTGGAAGATTTTGAAGTTTGAAGTTCTGGTCATTATTATTATGACCTTGAAGTCTCGAATCTGAAATTGGGTTTGGATAAAAATCATAACTATGTAGCAGTTTGTATCAACACTGTATACTAGTGTATAATTGTGTATATGGATATACAAACACCTCTTATACACTATTATACATGTTTATACAAAGTTATACAGTATTGTATAATTGTGTATAAATGTGTATATTTGTGTATAATATTGTATAATTATATATTTTTTCAGTTTATAAGGATGTATATACATTGTTAGTGTGTAAGAGGCCTCTACAGAAGTTTGACACTTCCTTCTCTTCTTCTTTTTCGTGTAATGTGTTGTATGAGCGTTGGAGGGATTCTACAATTCATTTACCAAGTTTTTATTTTTCTTTTATCCTGTTGGATTGCTTCAGCAATTGCACATAAAAGTGTTTGAATTTCTTACCTTCAGATAATATGTATTATTCATGATTTTTGAGTTGCGTTGTGGCTGATTTGCATTTTTTTATCAAATGCTTAATAATCAAAGGAAATCAACAGAATGAAAACAACTGGTTGTATACAGAGGGAGCAAAATAAGCTGTCTTTCGGGAATTAGCCTATTATTTTTTGGGCTATAGATTTGCAAAGTGGTATCTAGGCTATTATGTTGCAAGTCAGATGTGTGAGTTGTATTTATGTGAAATTATCCCAAAATTGTCAAAGCCCAAAGGCGACCAACCCTTGGGTCGCAGATGAAGATACAAGGAAATAGAGTTTTTGCTCATGACAATGCAATGTAACTTATGAAAGAAGTTGCTACTTTTTACTCTCTCCGTTCTAATTTATGTGAACCTGTTTGACTGGATGCGGAGTTAATGAAGACTTTTGGAATTTGTAGTCCTAAACAAGTGAAAAAGAGGTCAGAGTATTTGTGTGGTTATAAAAGCTTCTCATTAAGGCTTGGGAGGAGTCAATGTAACTGGTCGATCTAACTCCTCCAATCTTCCAAGACCTTCGACATACTTGCAAGCTACGTTAAGGACTTGCTCAATTTCTTCCACCAACTCGTCTTCACTTTCTTTTTCATCCCCCAATAAAGCTTGTCCATTGGGGTCTGTAGGGCTCATAAAAGGCACCGCTGAAGTCACATCACCTTCCACCACAAAAAATTATGGATAACTCTTTGTAGTGGACTAACAATTTAAGTTCTTTATAAATATTGAAGACATTCACTCGATCACCCACTCTAATTGTCATCTTTCTCGAACCCACTAGAACCATCGTTGAGAGTCACCAACTCTGACCTGGTCTCGAATATATACCTAACAACTAGTGCTCCGTTAGCACATGAATACTCCAAAAGAAGAAGTCAATGAATCTCCTCCCTTGCACATCACCTTCACATAGAAATATCAAATTTGGATCATTTCACAACTTCACATCTTAATAAGGTGAAACGTAGCACACATTATTCATATTCCTTGCTCAAATCACCCCTAATGTTCTCTTTCTCAGTTATTACTAATCCACTAACGTACCGATAACCAGAAACTATAAGACACATAACCACGTGATCCAATCATCGATGGTAGGCTCCCCCACTTGACGCTAAGCCATAATCGAGAAATCCAAGGACCCACAATGACTTCTCTTCCTAGCTACCACGATCTCACACCGTTACTCAGCCAAATTTCTCATAAGCTCTTGTTACACTAATCATCACACATCCTGAATTATCAGTCCTAATGCAGACATAACTTGATGACAGTCGCTCCATTTTCCCCAGATGATCCAGACTCACATCGCAGTACACGCCTCATGTTGGACAGAAAGTAGAACTCTTCATAGGAACTTTATCAGAAATTATGCAATCTCTAACCTGCTCGCAGGAGATTGCCCACCTATGTAATTCCATATCGACATCCTCCAACATCATTTCCCAAGTTACAACCACAACGAAGTCAGTTCATTCTCCTGAGCCTACACTCGTCCAGCAGCTATAAGAATCTGTTCATCCCATTAACATCAACTGAAGGTCCAACGATACATTTACAACTTGAAGATATATCGCATCCCCAAATGATGATTAGCATTCAAATTCCTCTACATCCTAATCAAACTCTTTTCATTGCATTTGAACTTCCCAAGTATAAAAGCCACCATCTCAAATGAAATACTCAGGATTGGTCATTTGTCCACCATGACCCAAATCACACTAACATATCTCAAAGCATGTGACTATCCTACAACAAATCTATACGATACGCTACCTCTCCCGCTCCATTTCAGCCATCTCCCGAAGCAAACTACTCAATCTCTGCTGTTAATACTTGACCTTCTAACAGTTCAACCACCGCGAGACATATCCCACCACGTCCTTTCTCATCATCCGCCACCAATCATGCCGCCCCAATTACGATCCATCTCCGTAGCACCCAAACAAATAGATTGCTATAAACTATAAGCTTCCTTAAAGATCATCTTCCTCGAGCCATCAACACTAGAAACACCGATTCGACCCTAAATTGGCAACACACTGCCATCTCTGATGATCACTTAATATGTACCATTTCATAATGCCGTGCACCAAAGGCAACCAAATGAAAACCATCATATCGACGAATCTTAATGCGTTCAAACAAGGATGACGACGCCATAACATAAACAAGAATTCCACCAAGTTTGAAAATACCCAACCTCACGACTCCATCTACCAATGCCTGAACATTCATAGCCCAATTGCCTCTCATCCGCTGGAATTAAATGCCGAATCCCCAATCATGAACCGAATAATGCTTCTCCCAACTTAATCACCATCGTGAAACATAAGTAGACACCCCACTATATACACCAACACTGCATGATAATAACGCATGAATATTATAATATATTGTGCATATCCTCGAGACCATGGAAAACACTAACACTGGCTGAAATGACAGAACACCCCTCCACAAGGAGACAATAATAGTCCGCTTGTAAATTCAAAAAAAAACATCCTTCACCATATCTCTAGCATCTCCACAACTCGTTAGTGCCCAACTGATATCGAATGATCGACATCACGTATGAATGAGTAGGAAGGAACTGAAGGCATAAGCCTCACCGAAATCAAATCGCACGACAACAAATTAGGAAAGGGAAGTTCTCCTAACAGTCTTATAGCCTCTCGAAGATAAGTACGAACGTCTCCGCACCGATCCATAAGGCTCTACTAGACTTGCTCATAACTCATGAGACCTAAGTGAACCTATAGCTCTGAGACCAAATTGTCACGACCCAAATCGCATAATAGGCCGTGATGGCGCCAAACACTACTGTTAGTCAAGACAATAATTAAATCAATAAGTCAATAGTAAATCCAAAATACATATAAAAACAATTTAAGAAATAAAGAGTGAAAGTTCGTTCATTGTCATAAAAAGTATAGATGTTATTCTTTTAAATGTTCGAATGTGGTCGAAATAGAAACCCGAAATCATATAGAATACAACCACAAGAAAAATCTGAATCCCCGAAATCTGGTGTCTCAAGTGCATGAGCTTCTACTGGAAAGTACAATACTAATACATCTGTTCGGAATATAAAATGGACAGGATAAAATAAATAAATAAGATGAGGACTCCGTGTGCTACGGATCGTAACATGGAATGCTGCTCACCACAAAGTCTCTTCAGCATCTGCGCCTATGCGCCAAATGACCACCAAATGTACCAGTCTCATTACCTGCACAATCATGGCAGAAGTGTAGCATGGGTACGTAAATCAATGCATACTCAGTAAGTATCTGGCTAACCCCGAAAAAGTAGTGATAAAGGGTTGGCATTGATACTTACTAATGGCCCTAATAAATCAGATAAACAAAAATAAACAGGTATGAGGCATAGCAGATAAGAATAAGGAAACGAATATATGTGCATAATACGAGCCTCAGCAGAATAGTAAACACAAAATCCTCAATAACCGGATACTATCTCAAATGGAATACATAATGGTCAACACCAGATAAAATGTCACATTTCAAGTTAGGAAAACTCACGGGTACACTGACTTCTTATCAAGTATTACGCATAATTATGCCGAGGCGAGCGACCCGATCCCGTAAGAGTAATGGCACGATTTCCTGTAGTGGCGTATGGTCCGATCCCATAATAGTACTGCTAAGGCATTAAGCCCGATCCCATAGACGTGTACACTGCTGAGGGTCGGCGACACAAACCGTAAATGCATATCATAATATTGTCGAGGAGAATGACCCGATCTCATAATGATACTGCTAAGACGTTCATCCCGATACCATAGGAATTGTGAAACTTGACGGTTACTAGCCGCACTAAAGAATGTATGTGT